ACCTACACACACACCTTGTCACCCTCTTATATATATATACCAGCCTACCCTATATCTAGTAATCTCCCGACTATTCCCGAAGGTTCGAGAGGTGGCGTGACACTAGTCATGTGACCTCGCTGACGCAACAATACTTTTAGACTTTAGTACACTTTACCGTGCACCGTTCTAATATATTGTTGTAGTTTTACATTATTTTCGATTACTATAATTTAAATCTGTTTTGTAACCTGTACAGTTCATAGACCTTTGATAAAGGCTTAAGCCGAAATATCGGGTATAATAAATGAACATTTGTCTGAAGTTGCTTGTAGTCTTCATTGAAAATGGTTTCCATCCTTTAGTTAGCACTGAAAGTTTAAAAAAAATTGTTGTGTTTTGATAGGGCTTTATTTGAACTGCAGTCTACTTACTGATCGAAACAGGGGATTTTGGTAGTTATATTTCAGTTGCACTCTGCATGTTGAAACAATGTGTTGAATTTTTGTAGTTCTTTATTTCAGTCGCAGCGTAAAATAATCGTCGAATCACCGAGTTACGGTAATTATTTTCATTGGAGTTGAGATTTATTGTTTACGCTCTTAGTTTTGATAGCTCTTTGTTTGAAATGCAGTCTACATGTCTAAACTTTACGAGTTTTAGTATGTCTTTTTTTAACTGCAGTGTAAAATACTCGTCTAATTGTTGAGCATCTGTAGCTCTTTATTTTAGTTGTAATGCAGATGTCAAAATATTTTGTTGAGTTTGAAAAGCTCTTTATGTTAATTGCAATTTAGATTTCGAAACATTGTTTTAGTTTCGAAATCTCTTTAGTTGCCGTATGTATGTCATGCGTTCCTTTGTTTTGGTACTAGTTAGCTCTTTACTTTTAATGGCAATCTAGGTTAATTGAAAAATCAATGGGATTAGAAACTTTATTTTTATTGCATCCAAGGTATTGAGGCATTATGATGAGCTTCTGTAGCTCTGTTTAAATTGAAGTCTAGATTCAAAACATTGCATTGAGTCTTAGTAACAATTTATTTTAATTCCAAAATAGATGTTGAAAACTTTGCGTTAAGATTTTGGTTGGCCATTATAATAATTGCCTTCTAGATTTCTTGTTGCAAGTTCCAGTTTTGATAGCTCTTTACTTTAATTGCAATACAAATGGCGAAACATTATGTTGCGTTTAAATAACTTTATTTTTAATAATGTTTGTTTGTTTGTTATGGATTTCGCGCAAAGCTACACGAGGGCTATCTGCGTTAGTCGTCCTTAATTTAGCAGTGTAAGACTAGAGGGAAGGCAGCTAGCCATCACCACCCACCGCCAACTCTTGGGCTACTCTTTTACCAACGAATAGTGGGATTGACCGTCACATTATAACGCCCCCACGGCTGAAAGGGCGAGCATGTTTGGTGTGAAGGGGATTCGAACCCACGACCCTCAGATTGCGAGTCGAGCACCCTATCCACCTGGCCATGCCGGGCTTTGAGTAGACAAGAGAGGAACTACTGTGTAACATGGAGGGAACTCCTTGCTATAGTAAAGAGTCTGACATATTTCCATCCTTACCTCTATGGGGCTAGGTTTAACATCAGGACAGACCATGCTGCATTACGCTGGTTAAGAACCCAGAGGGACAACTGGCACGTTGGATCGGAAAGATAGACCAGTATAATTATGATATTGAATACAGAGAAGGAAAATCTCATGGAAATGCCGATGGATTGAGCCAAAGACCCTGCAAAAATGACTGCAGACATTGCTGCAAAAGAGTGGTTGAACTAACTAGGTGTCACCAAGCTGAACTCAAAGTGACTGAAGGAGTTGATGATGGTGAAGTGGAACCAGGTATAGATATTAAAGCAGAGCATGAGAAAGACCAAGATTTGAAGCCAATAATTGATTTTCTAAAAGCAAGTGTTTTGCGCCCTGCTTGGGAGAAGTTGTCTAGCTTAAGCCCTAAGGCAAAGAACTATTGGGAACAATGAGACCAGTTGAAGCTTGAAGATGGTATTCTTCTCTGGAGATGGGAAACTGCAGATGGGAAAGTGACGACCTGGCAAACGGTTATACCGAGAAAGTTACGGGAAGTTGTGCTGCGTCAACCACGACAGAGATTTTATTGGATAGGTATGAGGTAAGACGTAGAAGAATGGTGCAGGTCATGCATAAGGGACTTGCTCAAATAAAGTTATATCAAGTTGGCACACCAATGGAAATAGTTGCTGTTGACATTGCTGGTCTTTTGCCCCAATCTCGTGCTGGAAACAGGTACATTTGTGTGGTGATGTATTATTTCACCAAGTGGCCTGCGGCACATACAAAACCAAATCAAGAAACTACAACTGT